ACTTTCTCAGAAAAACAAAATTGAAAGAATTTGTTACCAATAGTCACAACTTACAAGAAATATTAAAAGTTCTTTAGAGAAAAGGAAAATACTGTAAGTCAGAAACTTGGATCTACAAAAAGCAAGCAGGAGCATCAAAGAAAAAATAATTGAAGATAAAATAAAAACATCTATTTTTCTTATTTGTAATTGATCTAACAGATTAACAGTTTGTTCAAAATAATAGTAGCAAAATGTATTTAATTCTGTAAGCTTATTTATGTATATTATGTTAATATATAATCTTATGTATAATTATGTAGAAATGATAGCAATGATACAAGGGACAAAAGGGAGGAAGGAGGGTTATTGTGTCTAAGAGACCTCACACTACCAGTGTTATCAAATAATGTTATTTGAATGTGGAGTTGGATTAGTTGCAAATGTACAATGAAAATTCTAGGGCAATCACCAAAAAAGTAAAAAAAGAAGTATAATTACTATTCTAAGAATGGTGAGAAAATGAAATTGTATACATGCTTGATTAAAATTTCAAAAGGCAGATAAAGAATGGAAGACAAAAATAGGAACAAAGACAAGGGCGACAAATATAAAGCAGTTACAAATATGGTAGATATTAAGACATACCAATGGAAAATAGCATATAAAAAATGTCCCATATCATATGTCATCAGGGAAATTAAAATGCCACTGAGATAGCACTACACACCTATTAGTAATAGAATGGCCATAATCCAGAACATTGACGACATCAAATGCTGGCTAGGATGTAGAGCAACAGGAGTTTTTATTCACCGCTGGTGGAAATGCAAAATTATATAGGCACTATGGAAGATAGTTTGGCAGTTTCTTATAAAATGAACCATATTCTTACCATATGATCCAGTAATTGCACTCTTTGGTAGTTACCCAAAGATGCTGAAAACTTATGTATACACAAAAACCTGCACATAGGTGTTTATGGAAGCTTTATTCATAATTTTCAAAACCTGGAAGTAACCAAAATATCCATCAATAGATGAATGGATAAACTATGGTACCTGCAAATAACAGAATATAATTCAGTGCTAAAAAGAAATGAGCTATCAAGATGTGAAAAGATATGGTAGAAACTTAAATGCATATTACTAAGTGAAAGAAACCAGTCTGAAAAGGCTGCATACTGTATGATTCCAACTATATGACACTTTGAAAAAGGCAAAACTGTGGAGACAATAAAAAGATCAGTGGTTGCCGGGGTTTCAGAGACAGGGGAACAATGAATAGAACACAAAAGACTTTTGGGGCAGTAAAAATACTCTACATGACACTATAATACATGTCATTATACATTTGTCCAAATCCATGGAATACACAACACCAAGAGTGAACTCTAATGTTATGTAAACTATGGACTTTGGGTGTTCACGATGGCAATGTAGCTTCATCAGTTGTAATAAATGTACTACTCTGGCAGGGGATGTTAGTAATTGGGGAGGCTATGCATGTGTCAGAGTAGGAGGTATATGGGAAATATCTGTACTTTCCTCTAAATTTTACTGTGAACCTAAAACTGCTCTTTAAAAAGTCTTTTTTAAAAGTCTATTATAAAAAATGATTTTATAAAAGTACTAGATAATTACTTCACTAGTTTTAGAAAATTTTCCCCTGTTATGAAACGATAGGGATTTTATTATCACATTAATCAAGATTCTTGGCCAGGGGCTAGACTGCATCTCATGAGCCCTTCTAATGGAAACAGCACATAAAAATTCTTAAAAGGTATGTATTTTCAGATTATTACTGAATTTTAAACAATTTAAGGAAAAAGCAACTGAGCTTCCCAAAGCAATTTTTGCAGTATAATGTGTAATCTAGTTTTTTACAAGCACATACCACTGCCCAATAATCCCTGTCCCCCAAATCTGCTATATCTCCTATTTGACTCAGTAGACATTCCAATTTACATAACTCTCCTCAAGTTCCCCATCCACTTTTATTTTAGTCTGTGATCATGAGCTTATTTCCCAAATCACCAAGAAAATACAGGCCATCAGTTAAGAATCACTCCCTTTACAAACTTGCTCTAACTCCCTCTCTCACACACAACACACACCATACACACAAATCCATACACACATCCACAGACATGAACACTGTCTGCATTAGTACCTATACTTTGATCTCAGTAAAGTAAGTGTCCTGTCTCCTGCAAAGAGTTCCTCTGTACTCAGAAGACTAGACCCATATGCAATTTCCCTGTCTTTTTACATGTAGCTCCCCTCATTTCTATCTCCTCTGTCATTGCCTCCATCTGGGGCCTCAACCTGCATTCCTGCATTAGTATCAAAATAGATCTTGTTATTTCCAGTCATTCTCCCCTCAAATCCATTCCCATACTGCTTCAAGAATAATCTCTCATGATTTAAATTTAATCAAGAAATTCTCCTGATGTCTATCATTCAATGTTTCCCTGTCTCCTTTAGGATCTAACCCCATAGTCTCCCTGTTTTCTCTCCAATCTTTTTACCTGTCTTTATCTTACATACACACACTGTGCTCCAACTCTTTATTTTTAGCTCTATACTTTTTATTTTTATTTTATATTTTTTATTTCAGCGTATTACAGGGGTACAAATGTTTAGGTTGTGTATATTGCCTTTGTACTACCCAGTCAGAGCTTCAAGTGTGTCCATCCCCCAGACCATGCGCACTGAAACCATTAGGTATGTATATACCCATCCCCTCTCCCCACTTCCATCTGCCTGAAACCCGATGAATGTTATTACTATATGTGCACTTAAGTGTTGATCAGTTAATACCAATTTGATGGTGAGTACATATGGTGCTTTTTTATCCACTCTTGTGATATTTCACTAGTACAATCTCTGTGGAAGGTAATATGCAGATACCTCAAACAGCTACAAGTAGAACTACCATTTGACCCAACAATCCCATTACTGGGCATATAACCAAAAGAACAAGACAGTCTATAAAAAAGACATCTGCACTCAAATGTTTATAGCAGCACAATTCACAATTGCAAAGAGGTGAAAACAACCCAAGTACCCAATCCATACATGAGTGGATTAACAAAATGTGGTGTATGAACACCATGGAGTTCTATTCAGCCACAAAAAACAATGGTGATATAGCACCTCTTGTATTATCCTGGATAAAGCTGGAACCCAACTATTTTGAATTACATACAATTCTCTGAAAGTATCATTGTATATAACAGTTTATTGTCTTTGCTCATTCTCTTCCTTTCTCTGAAAATGCTTTTAAATACTTCCTTACCTGAATACCTTATCCTCCCCCTTTAAATCAGTAGAGAAGTATGGAAATCATTAATTCAACTCATTAATCTTATAATTCCTCTTTCTCTCTGGGTAGAAGGCAGTATTGCACTTCATAGTCCCCCATTTGAAATTAAGCAATTTGCTTTGACCAATGAAGCTTTAAATGCCAGTGCATAATGAGCCACTCTCCTTTCCCAGTGCTGAAGTGATCGTGGAATTACATCCAGTAAAAGTCTTCTTGTCTTGGGTCTATAAGTTTTCCTACCAACTCATTTGGGCATACAGTTTGTGTGACAAATAAACACTGGTTAACATCAAGATTTGGGCTTGTTTGTTCCTATAGCATAACCTAGGCTAATCTGACTGATACAGAGGATTACTTTTTCAGGAAACCTTTCATGACATCAATATAGTCTGATTAAATGCTGCTTCTCCCAGTGATGATAGCATTCCATTCATGCTCTTATTATAACATAATACTGTCGTAAAATGGCTGCTGTAATTATCCATTTCCCTTATTAAACTGGTCTCCTGAAAGCAGGAACTGTGTAGTTTAACCCTAGATTTTCACTGCCTCGCAAACTGCTCAGCTCATACTAAGTGCTTAAAAAATGTTTACTGAATTAACCATTCGTTTATATATTCACTCATCAAAAGCCAGGGGCTACTCTAGTTGCTAGAGACAGGGTAAAAACAGAGCAAACAAAAATCCCTGACCTCATATGCCTTATATTTTTGTGAGAAAAAATGACAATAAGCCAGACAAATAAGTATAAAACATATAGCTTATTAGTGATAAATGCTATCTAGCAGCGAAAGCATGTAAAGTGTGGGATAATGGTCAGGTAAGAGCCCATTTAGAAGGTGACCTTTTAATAAAAACCCAAAGCAATGTAAGGAAATTGGCCAGGCAGATATTGGGGAAAAGAGCAATTCAGTAGAAAGAATAGCAAGTACAAAAATCCTGAGATGGGAAAATGCCTGGAATGTTCAAAGAATAAGGGAGCCAGTATATCTAGAGCAAATGAATGAGGATGAGAGGAGTTGAAGATGAAATTAGAGAGATAACAAAGGGCCAAATCTTATAGAGACATTTAGGCCAATTTAAGAGCTTTATTCAGCTTTTATCTTGAGTAAAACGGAGAGCCACTGAACAGCTCTGAGTAGAATAAGAAGTGGGAAAGGACAGTAAAAGATGAGGTCAGAGATATAACGAGGGTCCATATTCTCTCATTTTATGCCATAATTCCATGGATATATCAATTAACCAAAAATTATTAAAAATAATGTTGACTAACTCATATTTTAAGATAATCTTAATCTATTCATTACTAACTATGCAGAGATAATGATTAAAGCCAATATATAATTACCAAAATATTGCAATGTGCCAAAGTATAATAATGTACCGAATACCAAGAGACACAAAGCATTTTATATAGCAACAAATCTTAGTAGACAATTAATACTAGACAATTTAACAAATAAATCAGATATATATTTATAACTTTATAAAGCTTGCTTCATTTACTTGGATTTGCCCAACTATCACAAAATAGATACAAGTAAAAACATTTCCTCCTTCCATAAGAAAAAACTGTGTTCAGAACCCAGGTTCATTGTCAGAAGCAAACAACCCAAAACAAGAAAAACAAAGCGAAAGAAAACAAACCACAAATCAAAAGACTTTTTGCCAAATGTTAAATCAAATAAACACACCTTGCGCTGTGTCCTTGATGCTGCCAAGTCTGAACTCTGGAGAGCTGCCAAGGGGCAGAATGTTTCCAAAGGCAGAGTCTTTACCGAGGAAACTGTGCTCACATTCCTGGTAAATTCAATTCCAGATACCAAAAATAATATTCTTGGTTGATTTTTCTTACTAGAATTCAAAATAGAGTATAAAGAAATAGTAAATGAATGATCTCAAGTTCCCTAATTGTCCAGAAACTAAAATCACAGTGAAAGCATTTCCAAAACAGTGTTTCTCAGTTTGCTAACTCCATTACCTATTCAGAGCAAATAAGTTTCTATGACGAAATATATTTGGGAAATACTGAATATGATGCCCCATTTTAACAAGGAACATTTCATAATATTGGCTCTGAGAAGTACTATCACAGAAAAGCCTATTTAAATTTGTTTGACCCAATGTGTCCCAAACAATTACCTGAAAAGTAACAGGCCATGCTTCCACTTCCACTGCTTTGTAAAGTATATGAGGATAAAGAGATTATTTGAAATTATTTTCTATTATTTTAATTTGTATACAGTCGACTTATAAAAACAATTATATTTATTCAATCATAAATTTTAAGCATATGTTACCTTCTAAATGACCATTTAAAAACCAACAAGGAACAATAATCAAGTAATGCACGATTTATTCATTTTTGTTCAATATTTACTGAATACCTATTATATGCCAGGCACTAAATTTATCTATAGTTTTTCATTGCAATTGCTCTCATATGGATAAGATTATCAAATTTAAATGATTCCAAACCACCATCTAGTCATAATACTAACTCAAAAATTAACCCCAAGTATTTGAGAACACAAACTTTACTAATTCTAATCAGATCATCAAAAATAATGTGCTATTTTAGTCCATTTTTAAATAGTGATAATAATCCAAGTCAACAGTCATAATATGAAAGGATAATCTCTTTTTTTAACAAATGGTTCTACAAAAGAATAAAGTTGGACCCTTACCTCACTCCATAGATAAAAATTAACTCAAAATGAATCAACTAAATGCAAAGGCTAAAACTATAAAACACTTAGAAGAAAACATAAGAGTAAAACTTTGTGACTTTGAGTTAGACAACAGTTTCTCAGATACAACACCAAAAGGACAAGCAACAAAATAAAAAATATATAAACTAGACTTCATCAAAATAAAAGTTCTACACTTTAAAGAACATGATCAAAAAAGTGAAAGACAATCCACAGAATGGTAGAAAATATTAACAAACCATATATATGATAATTGTCATGTACCCAGAATATATGAAGAACTCTCACAGTTCAACAACAAAAAGTCAAATAATCCAAATGGGCAAAGTATTTGAAAAGACATTTTTCCAATGAAAATATATAAATTGCTAACAAGCACATGAAAATTCCTCAATATCATCAGAGATTAGGGAAAATCAAATCAAAACCACAATGATATACCACACTTCCTTCCACCAGGACAGCTATACCAAAGGACAGACAATACTAAAGTAAAGATGAAAATATGGAGAAACTGGAGCCTTCACACATTGCTGGTGAGAAAGTAAAATGGTGCAGCCATACTTTGGAAAACAGCTTGGTACTCCTTCAAAAATCCAAACACAGCATTACCATATAACCAGCAATTCTACTCTTAGGTACACCTGAGAGAAATGAAAACTTATCTCCACACAAAACTTATATATGGACATTCATAGCAGTATTATTCTAATAGCCAAAGAGTGGGAATAATTCATAATGAAAATATAAACAAAATGTGATATGGCCACATAATGGATATGTAAAATATTAAGAATGAAATGAGATCATTTTTATGAAAATAATGTGTCAAATATAAATGCTTATATAAATATGAGACAATGCTATCTGAAAAACTATTTTCACTATATATCTAAATCAAGATTCAAATGGGATATGGTTTCAGTCAGAGTCTATACAAATTCAAAACAAATATGTAAATCTTTTTAAAAGAAATGCTAAGCATCAATTTAAGCATTGTCTTATAAATATCTAAGAAAAGAAAATCCAAATATGTTCAAGTAACCCATAACTAAACTTCTCTCATCTTGAACTTCATCATGACGTTTTTAGAAACTATATATAAAAGTGGTACAGTGTGCAAACATGGACTTTGTTTTATCTTTAAGCAGTTCTGTCTACCCAGGAGAAGCCAGGACAGATTATCTTTCTTACCTTACAAGTAAATTCTTAATATTCTCAAAACGTAAAATGATTTCAGCTTATTTAACAGCCTACTCACATAAATTTGCATACTACATAAGTTCCTAAAGGAACTAGGAGATTATTTATATAACCTCCTTCAAGGAGAAGTTTGTTATAAATTAAGACATATGTAGGTATACCTTCAAATAACTTTTATTCCATGAAAGTATAGTTGTAGAATTAAAGACTTTGAGGATGTTTTGTACAGTCTTTGAAAAAGTTTGAGAACCACTACTCTAAAATACTAATTTGATCATGTTGCTTTACCATCTATATATCTAAAATGGATTCTCAATTGCCTATAAGATCAAAATAGCTTTGCATGACATATAAGAGCCTTCTCTACCTGGGCCACCAAATTCATATTGCCTCAACTCTAGCCACTCTTCTCCAAATTACTTTTCAACCACTGAACTTTCCATCTCCCAACCATGAGATCTCATTGATAGCTTAATAGGTTTACAAATCTTATTCTCCTTACTTCGACATTATCTCAGCCTTAGCTACATCTACCTTGAATTCATAGGCATCCTTCGAGACCCTGTTTCAATTATGTACTTTCTCCATATAATTCACCTATACCTACAAAGCAAATCTGCAGTTATCTGATTGACATATAACTCATTTATTAAATATTATACATGCTTATCTCCATAATCACTTAGAATTTTGACATATAGTAGTATTCATTATTTATTATATTGAGATATTCATGAAATGATTTGTCTTGAGAAATAAATTTCTAAAATCTTTACATGAATTGTGTTTCATTTAAGGCGTAGACATATGAATAGGTGGATTATTAAATGGAAATAATAGATTCTTGATGGTAACCCAATTCACCCAAACAGATGGTGGGGTAAGTAGAACATTGAAGGGCAATAATTGAGAAAATTTGGGTTGCTTGAATTGCAAAGGGAAGTTTCACCTTATACATTAAAGTTTATAGTTTAGGTCAGGAATTGGAAAACTTTTTCTATCTTCCATGTACAAATATTTTAGGCTTTCAGTGTCCAGAGATGAAATCAAATTATAATAGTATCATTATGATTTGTAGTGTGATGAGAAGCAGTGCAAAGCAATGAAAGCACCATACACACATCTCCGTGGTAATTAGTCAACTCTGCTGTTGTAATGCAGAAGGAGCCATAAACAATGTGTAAGCAAATAAGCATGGTTGTGTTCCAATAAAATTTCATTTATAAACAATAAAATTTGAATTTCAGATGATTTCACATGTCACAAAACACCATTATACTTTTGATTTTTTCAACCATTTAAAAATGTAAAAAACATTCTAAGCTCACAGATCATATGATATGCACAGTGAGCCAGATTTGGCCCGTTGACCATAGTTTGCTGATCAACAGTTTAGATATATTTTAACATCTATTCATACTCTTGGATTACCAAATTTCATCTCTGGAATAAATAAATAAGAAAATCACAAAATTTTATTTAAATCTAGGTTATTGTTATTGAATTAAATTTTATAATATATATCTTCTCATGCAAAAATATTTTACAATAACAGTCAATTATTAACTAGATTTAACATACCTATTTAGAGCCACTTCTATATTCTAGCAACCTAGGTAGGGTATACCATCAATTTTATACCACACATATACACCCACACATCCACACAAACATCATGGCTTTTGCGTTCATATTGCATTATCTTATATAGTAAGCTGGTATGCTAGGGTTTTTTCCCAAAAGCAAACACAAAGTAGTTGAGAGTCCCTTATCCTGATGCTTCTTTTTTTTTTTTTTTTTTTTTTTTTTTGAGACAGAGTCTCACTTTGTTGCCCAGGGGTGAGTGCCGTGGCGTCAGCCTAGCTCACAGCAACCTCAAACTCCTGGGCTCGAGTGATCCTTCTGCCTCAGCCTCCCGAGTAGCTGGGACTACAGGCATGCGCCACTATGCCCGGCTAATTTTTTTTATATATATATCAGTTGGCCAATTAATTTCTTTCTGTTTTTATAGTAGAGACGGGGTCTCGCTCTTGCTCAGGCTGGTTTCGAACTCCTGACCTTGAGCAATCCGCCCGCCTCGGCCTCCCAAGAGCTAGGATTACAGGCGTGAGCCACAGCGCCCGGCCCTGATGCTTCTTAATTTGCAATAGGGCTGTGTGCCAATAAACCCACTGTAAGTCAAACATATAGTAAGTCAAAATATCATAAGTCAAAAATGCATTTAATACACTGATAAGCCCAGAGTAAAGTTGAAAGATCGTAAATCAAATCATCATAAGTCCATATCAACTCATGATGGGGTTTCATACCAATAAACTCATCATAAAGTTGAAGAATCATAAGTCAAACCATCATAAATTGGGGACTGTTTGTATCCATGAGTGGTTTTCTATTGCTATCAAATCAGAAATACAAATTGCATGTAATTTTTTTTTAACTCTAAAACATTGCTCTCTTCTGGAATTTAATACTACAGAAAAGTAGTATAGGAAGTAGAAATTCTACAGAAAAGAAGTCTCAGGCCAGCCAAATTTTCATTTCCTGATAGTAAAATACTTTTTTTACCTTCTTCCTAGATATGTGAAACATTTTTTATTTATCATTATAATTTTGTAACATTGTGTCTCTTTCAGTTGTCATGTCTTATATTAAGAAAAGGCCCCTTCTCTCTTCATCTGTCTATTTCAGCTCAGGAAAAGTTTTATTTCCTGTTATATTTTTATTACTTTTCTTTGAAATGCTCATTTCTCTTCTTTAGGAACAATCATCTATATATTCTTGTCTCTTTTTCAGAAACTCCAAATATTCATACAGTGGACTTCATTCTTTATTCTCCAAATATCTTCTTTTTATGATTTTCAACTTTTTAGCTTGGAGAAATTTTCAAATTTATTCTCCATACTGACTATACTTACTACTACAATATCAATTCTGCTTATT